CCATGAGTTCTCACGGTTCTTCCTAGGGAGTTTTGTTTGCTCTAGATAGAATTTCTCAGTGCTCAGGTGGGATGCTCTTGGCTGGCCTGCAGATCCCTGACCTTTCCCTCACATATACTACTGTCATACTGGTTCCATGAAGAGCAGTTTGTAAGTCAGGTTATTGACTGTTTGGGGCAAAACTGTCTTCTTGATCATTCTTGTGAGCTTCTTTCTTTCTTTCTTTCTTTTTTTTTTTTTGCCGAGACCTTATGCCTTCCATTTGTTTCGAGAGCATTTCTCCTTCCTGCAGCATCTATAAAACACATCCTCTCAGGTTTTGTCAAGTAACTCCCGCTTCTGCATCAACCGCAGTGTGGCTTATCTTTCCCCAAGCATCAGACATGTTTCTAACCACGAGCATGTGATTATTAATTCTGGATTATAGCCTGATCATCCTGAATATAATGAGACTTCTGAGCCATGGAACATGCCAGATAAATAAATAAAATAGAATTTTTAAAACCTTCTCCTCGGCAGTCTGGCTGCTGCTTTTCAGTTCTCAGGACTCCCTTTCAGTGCCCTAGAAACTGAGCCTGAGCTTTGTTCAAGTTCTGTTGAAGACCTCATGCCTGAGCTCAAATCCAGGCCGAGTAGCAAAAAGACAAAGAAAAGGAAAAAGCAAGGACTTTTACCAACCCTCACACCTGTTGCTGCCAAAAACGGACAGCTACTCCTCAGGGTACAAGTTCCTAGGGCCAGCACCAGCACAGCATTTGGGAGAACAGTGGAAGGACAGGGTCTTGGTGATCCCCTTCTTCGTCTGTCAGTCAAAGGGTTGGCTTCTCCTCAGGGCAGGAACTCTAGCAAGCCGAGATGAAAGGAGAACTGTAACTGCTCATCATCTTGATGATATTCCCCCCATTGCCGGCCTCTGATGATGTCACAGCCCTCACTAAGCTGCTGCTGCCTACATTCAGCCGTGTTCCAGGAAGGCTTTTGCTGCAGGGAGCAGGTGCGGTGTGCCAATGCCATCTGATCTGGAGCCAGAGCACACTTCCTTTCATCTCTCTATTTTAGCTTCGTTCCTCAAAAACTCTGGCTGCTTCTGAGGCTTGGGCATTGTGAGTTCAAATGGCTGTGACCTGTTCCAGCATCAGTAGAATCCCTTCCAAGCTGCCTGTTGCTGCCAAGGAAACGCTCCCAGGGCAGGACCCTGTGCATGGCACCTGTGCCTCTGCCCTCCTTATAGCATGGCCCAGGATGAACTCAAGGCTTGATGCTGAAAGATGACGTCTCCTATGGGAGTCAGGGCTGTGTGGTTGAAGACCCTTTCCATGCCATTGGACATGTAAGTCAGGCTCCTGGGGAAGATGTTTTGGGTAGCATCTGTAGGCCAGCCCTATGACTGCTCCATACTCAAGTGGTTCATGATGTCAAGGCAGCACCTGTGATGATGGGTAGGATGAAGGGGTTAAGAAGTAAGGTGGGCAGAGCCTAACAGCTGCCTCCTCCACCACATCCCTAGTGTGGGGTCTCCCTTATCAGAAGTGGTTGAGCTTCATGGATCTGAGTCCAGGAGTGGAGATGGCTTTCCCTTTAAGGCCATGCTTCCCACTCCCTTAGCACAGGTCCAAAATTCCCTGTGTCTACAATACAGCACCACGTTGGGAAGTAGCACCCTTCCCACTCCTGATCATCTTCATCTCAAATGCAGATGGTATTGATAAATAACTCATTTTTCACTTAGGTGGCTTCTCTGTATGTACAAGCCACCAGAGCCATGTCCCTCAGAGAGGGAATCTGAAGTCCAGGGCAGCCAGCTGCATCAGCACAACCAAGTCCTGGAGCAGAGGAGCGTGCTGGAGAAACGAAGCATTCAGGAAAGCCATGAGAGAGCCACGAACTTGAAAACCACCATGCTATAGCTCACAAAGCCCACTTCCCACAGCACTGGGGCTTGGGGCTTACTCCCTATGGATAGCCACACAGGGGACAGATGGATTTCAGTGGGTCCCTCTGGGCCACCCAACATGACTTGGTGGACAGCCACCAAGGATTTATGTGGCCACATGAACCTTCAGAAATTGTGTTTTCCACATTTATATTTATATGAGCAGATCCCTCTGCATTTGAAAGATGCCCCTTACTGCAAAAGTGCCAGCCCTCTCCTTGCATGTAAGTGCAGAGCGAATCTTGAGTGTGCCCAGGTCTGGCTAAAGGCCTGTTTCTGAGAGCGGCTTCCACTAATGAGTGCATGTGCTCCTTACAGGGTGACTGACGTAGGGTTTTAGGTACAATTGAAAAACAATGTGCTTAATTATAAAACATTGCTCCCTTTGAGCCATACTGCCTAGTGTAGTGACTCTCAACCCCTTTGGGTCAAACAACCCTTTCACATGGGGTCACGTAACAGATATTATGCATATCAAATATTGGCATCATGATTCATAACAGTAGCAAAATTAGTTACAAAGTAGCAATGAAAATGATTTTGTGGTTGGGGGTCACCACACCATGAGGAACTGTATTAGAGGGTAGCAGCTTTAGGAAGGCTGAGAACCACCGGGCTGTGTGTTGCCCTGTGTGAGTTGTGGACTGGTTAAGAACCGGTTACCAGGCCTGAGGGTGCCTGACTAGGAGGATATACAAAGCCCTGGGTTCAATCCCCAGTACATAAAATGGGACATGGTGATGGGCGTGTCTGTAATTCTGTACTTAGAAGATAGAAACTTAAGGGTTGAGAATTCAGGGCTGCATAGCAAGTTCAAAGCCAGGCTGGGGTAGATGACAAAAACAAAACTTCTTGTGATAAACTGACTGTGACAAAGCGAGTGAGGAGCTGTCAGGGTGACTCCGTGGTTGGGAGCACTTGCTGTTCTTCAGGGGACCCAGTTTCAACTCCCAGCACTCCCAGCAGTCTGCAGCTTCAGTTCCAGGGGATCCGGTGCATTTTCCTGGCTTCTGTGGGAGCCAGTCATGTATGTGGTACACGTACATACATGCAGGTAAACATACATATAAAATAAAAGCAAGTATTAATAGAAACTGAACACGTTTGACAGACTATACTGGTGTCTGAACACATAAACTTTCCATTCCGGACACTTTTCTTCTTGGAGAGAAAGAGTCTCCGTGACCTGCCAGTCCTTGGTCAGAGCCTCCGTGGCTGGGAGCCAACAACTGTGTACGTAGGTGCCACTCACTGTCCCTCACAGCCATGCCTGCTCCACTTAGGCTATCCCTTGGTTGAGTCCCAGCATGTTTATTAAAGCGCTAGGCTGTTCTGGAAAACATAGGCCACAATCCTCTCCCTGGGCCACAGCAAGGGTGACAGCCCACCCAGTCTCCACCATCTGAGGAAGGCAGGGCAGCTTCTGCTGCTTGCAGGATGAGGTGGCTTCCTTTGCTCCCTCCCGGGGCAGCTCCTCAAGCCTTTCTCAGGGTGCCTCAGCCGTCCTGCCTTCTACACCTCTGCCTACTTCCTTTCCCTTTCCCTTTCTCAGACAACAGTAACAATAAGTATGATTAGCAAGGTGATTTCCAGCCCCTTTCAGAGGACAAGACAGTAAACAGAGCTTGTTTGCCTAAGGAAACCCTCCCAGCACCCAGCCACTCAAACTGCATGTGTTAATGAACCCAGAGCCGTTAATGCGGTTTCTTCAGTTAAATTGATTCATGAATTTTGAAGAGAACATTATCTAATGAATTTTCTTTGAATAGAAAGCAATTAAAAGGACAAATCAGTCTGATTAACCCCAAAGTCACCCTCCTGCCACAAATGCTGTACAGTTTGAAATTATATCATAAAAAACTAGAGCACATTTGCTGTGTCTGTGCCCTCTACTAATCCATGTAAATTAATGAACAACAAAGTTAATTTCTTTGATGACCCTTTTCTAGTATCACCTGGATTATGCTGATGTTTAATTTGCTTAATGTTATAATAAAGACTAAACAGGGTTTTTTTTTCCAGTGAAGTGATTATCATTCCCTTCAGTTAAGAAGTGATTTTTATTATTTAACGTGCATGTAAGGGTATGTTTCCTTTAAGAGCCAAATCACACTCTGCCAGCCTGGCACCAAATGTGGCCAGCACTGTGGGGGACACACTCCCTGACGCCCCCCATGCAGTCCTCCACTCTGTTGTTCCCTCCAGAACTCCTGCTCCCAAGCGTTGGAGCCCAGGGAGGGAGGATGTGTCTTGGCCTCCATGATCCCTAGCCTGTGCCCCCCCCCCAAGACAATAGGAATTGATTCACACCAGACTCTCCCTTGTGCCTGGGCTTCTGTCCTACTCAGGGCACATTGCAGGGAATGATTCCAAAGCCCAGAGGCATCGAAGGAGAGGAGCTGGCTGTGTTTCACCCTAGCCTGCTGCAGGACACAAAATGCATGCCACTTGATGCGGCTGATGAGAGAAAATGGAGAAAGATACTTTATTTTTGCAGCACTGCCTGCAACTGCCTGCAGCCAGGGTTACCCCACCCTTTACCCCAACCTGGTGGAGGCATCTGGCATTCACAACAGCACTGGGAGGAGGCTAGTCCTGCCCACTGCTGCCCAGTGTGGACAGCTAGAAAAGGGTCCCATCCCATCCCTGCTGACTTCCTCCTCCTGCATCTCACCTGAAGCTGGAAATTAACCAGCAGTCCAAAGGGCTTCCACATAGGTGGGCCAGCAGGGGCTCCCGTGCTTGCTAATTGAACTGTGTGCAAATGCTTGCCTGCCCGCTCACAGAAAGAGCATCGCACACAGCTCCACATGGAACGTGAGGAAGATGGAAGGAAATTAAAGACGTGGGAAGCCTTGTGAGGCCCACCTGCTTTGTGCCCGATTCAGTCTCTGTTCTCCTTGCCTGTGCCACCGTGACAGGGTGCTGTGTGGAGGTCTGTGTTTTAATTGAGTATAACACCTCTATTTGTGTCATTGCATTTTCTGCTGGGGGACTGGCAGCTGTTTATATGTGGGCTGCTGGAGCCGTTTGTCCAAATCACGTCACTCTGTTTTCTTCCTTTCAGATTCATTCACCAGACAGGTGTTATGGAAGCTGCTGAAGGTTGTGAAATTCGGAGAAATGGTTTCTTACCAGCAATTAGCAGCCCTGGCAGGCAACCCCAAAGCGGCTCGCGCAGTAGGAGGAGCAATGAGAAGCAATCCTGTAAGTTCTGCAGACGGGCAGCAGGCTGGATATCTGCCATTGCTGGGCCTTGAACCACTCTGGGAGCCAAGTGTCATTTGAGTAAATGTATTTCATAGGACAACTATGTGGCCGGGTGGGGGATAACTCCTGGGAGTGGCACCCTTGTGTCCCAGCCTCGTGAGCCCTTTGCTATAGCAGCTCATACCAGAGAGGAGGAAGCCTGCAGAGTGACAAGCAGGCAGGAGGGCAGCCTGTAATTCATTCACTCCCCACTGGATAGTCCCCACACTGGGTGTCTGATGAGTGACAACATTCTTCCATAAACTGGAAATACAGCCATATATCCAGAAGACAAGAGGCCTGCCCATGTAGCACCAGCCTTCTGAGAAGGTTTTAGTAACATAGGACAACCCCATCTCCCTGGATATCTGGGGAATGATGAGCCTAGAAGATGGGACACCTTGCATCATAGATGTCTCCTGTCCTTGGGTGTCAGCTCCCCAGGGAGTGGCTCTCCCCCCCCCCCCCCAGATCTCATCAGCATTTATTTATGTTCCTTCCTGCAAATCTGTCAGAGTTTATTGAACTTTTAGAGACAGCCTGTAGTCCCACAGTGCAGTGGGTATTTTGCCCCCCCCCCCCCCCAGCACAGCCAAAGGTCAAACCAGAATCCTGCATGCCTGTGGGCCTTGTATGGACAAGAAGACATGCCATCCCCACAGTCTTCAGGGAAGACCCACACTACCTTCAGGCTCCCTGATGTCCCGAGCAGCCTCCCCTATGCCAATATAGGTGTTCTGTCATATTGGTAAAGCTGTGCAGATCTCTGGCATGACAGAAAACCACCACCTGATCAGAAGTGCACCCTATCTGGAAGGGACATTGACGAATCAGAAGTGCACCCTGATATCTGGAGGGAACATTGACGAATCAGACAGTCTGAGCCTCCTTTGGTGGGTGGTGGTTGTTTGAGACTGGGTTTCTCTGTGTAGACTTGACTGTCCTGGAACTCACTAGGTAGACCAGGCTGTCCTCATACTCAGAGAGATCCTCCTGCCTCTGTCTCCCAAGAGTTAAGATTAAAGGGGAATGCACCACACCTGCTCTGAATATGGCTTTTTAGGTCTTCCAACAAAACTTTTCTCCTGCCTTTTGGTAGACCACCATTTCTGGGCCACTACTAGATTTTGAGGCATTAGATTAAAAAAAAAGACAGGGTCTTTTTGTAGCCCTGGGGCTGTCCCAGAACTTTCTCTGTAGACCAGGCTGGACCTCATAGAGATAGATACCTGTCTCTGACTCCTGAGTTCCGGGACTAAAGCTGTTCGTCACCATGCCTGGCCATGAGGCATTAGATGTTGTTATAGACAAGGAGGCAGCTCTGATATATTTGGTCTATGGCTTCATTTAATGCCCCAGAAGAACGGAGGAAGCCAACACACTTTTTACACTCCTTGTGCTGCACCCTTGGAGCTGCGGTTTTAACACACACCAGCCACCCTGATCTTTGAATGGGGTAGGTGTTTGTGTGCCAGGTCTGAGTATCTACTAAGGCTGAGGAAGAGGCATGGACATTCCCCAGGTGACTCCTGCAACAAGATGAATGGTTTGGTATTTATCCACACTCAAATTAGGAACTAAGGTGATTTATTTTGCAAAGTTTCCTGTGTGTACCCATATAAAGATGAAGATGGCCCCACAGCTTCTGCTCTGTGCGCAGCTAACATCTGCTTTAAGAACAAGCTCTGCTGCCCAGGGTGTCCATTGGTAAGCACACCACACCCACTTTTGTGATGAGTTCCCATCAAGCATCACTGGAAACTGGTATGAGAAGGGAATATTGAGACTTGAGGGAGAAAAGGCCTGGACAATGGTGGGCTCTGCCTGCCGCCCATGTTGGCAGGTGTCCTCAGCACCACTGACAGCAGGGCCCAAGATGGGGGTGGCTGTGTATGTCCCCTTTACCTCAAAGTCACCATTCTGGAATAAGCTCATGGCAAACAAAGTTCTCATGTTTTGGCTGAGCAGTGCTATTTGTGAATTTGAGAGGAATAGTAGAAAGAATGTAGAATGCTCCAGTCACTGGAAACTTCATCTTGCATCATTCCTAAGGTGGCTGGCAGTAACCAGGGCCTCATGCTGTCTGGTCTCTCAACTGGCCATAGGAATATGACAGGATGGGAGTCTCCTTCATCTTGGAACTCAACTTCTCCCAAGTTTCCCAGGTGGGAATCACTGGCCTTGCCAGGAGGCTGGGCAACCTCTGGAAAGTGAAGGTGCCACATCACCCTGAATAAGGGATGCCCAGCCCGAAGGCTGCATGCACACGTGTGCGCGCGTGCGCACGCACACACACACACACGCGCGCGCACACACACACACACTCTTCTGCCACATCCTCAGACGCAATTTGCTAAATGTAGTTCAGAGGCAATCAATACAAGCTCAGGGAGTTTCCCACCTTTTTCTAAACAAACACATTCCTGAGGAGTTAGTTTATTCGAAGATTGCCATGAACGCCAATGACCCCCGAGTCCTGTTCTGCCATTCACCCAGATGGCTGTTGATAAAGATTTAGCATCATGTTCCGAGTGTCAGGGTTGTCAGTGGAGCTGAACCATTTGACCAGAAGAAAAAAACGCACCGGGAGCTATTGATTACAACTTCTCGGTGTCACTTGTTCACCAGGATTTAGGTATTGATGAGGCTGCGAGTGAAAACAAGCTTTCTCCCTTGTGGCCTCTGCCCAGAAGAACAAAGGCAAAGTTGGAAAAAATATTCAGCCAGTTCCAGAATCAGAGGGATTCCGTTATCGATTGCAAGGCCCCTTCATGTTATTTTTGTTGGAGACAAATCTATGGGTTTGGAAGTTTTATAGCAGTTGAGAAAGGGCTTGTGTGAGTGATGGATCCGGGTATTGGACAAATTAGATTTCACAGCATGAAGATTTCAATGAAGCTGTAATACCATGAGCTCCTTGAGTATTGATAGCAGCAGTAGCATTGCATGCAGCAGGGGTTGTCAAGAAGAGGACAGCAATGATACGGGTTCTTCAGATATGGTCGTGGAGCCCCAGCAAATCTTACTGGAGCCCCAGTAAATACCTACTGCTAGTCTGGCATGAAGCAGGGTCCTTTTCTAAAGGTGACCTGTGTGAGTAAGTCACCAGTCCTCAATGAATTCTGTGCCAGCAGTCCTTCAACTCAGCGTTGATCCACAGAAGGAAGCAGGGAGCGGTGTGCATGATACTCACTTTTGTAATCCCATAATCCCTTGAGAGGGAAGAAGAAAGTCAAAGCTGGGAGGTCAGATCTGATATCAGGTAGGATGGTGGAATATGAGTGGCATGCGTGCATCAGCCTAAGCTAGGGGTTGGTATCATCTCAGTCTTCTCTCTCTCTCTCTCTCTCTCTCTCTCTCTCTCTCTCTCTCTCTCTCTCTCTCTCTCTCTCTCTCTCTCTCTCTGTCTCTCGCTCTCTCTCTCTTTCTCTCTCTCTCTCTCTCTCTCTCACACACACACACACAATGTACATGTATATCAGTCATAGTCATGTTCCATTCTCAACATCTTCCATGACTCCTTTCAAGGTCAAGGTCAGCTGCTGTTGTCCACATACGCCTGGAATTGCACTTCTCACCCCATACTGCTCCTGGGTGCATGGTCAGCTCTCTCCTTCCTGATCGCCATGCCAGTAGTCCTTAAAACTACTCATAGACCACATCTGTACATGTCATCATGGTAGCCATGTGAGGTGTTGGAAATCGTGTCCCCATCTCCCAAGCTTTGTTGTAAAACAGCAGTGGTCCACAGAGTATGACCATCACCATGTCAGTCACTCCTCAAGAAAGGCAGTGTGTGCACAGAGCTCTCAGGAAGACATACAGATCCCAACTCCTGCTGCTTAGAACCTCTGCTTTGCCTCTTACTAGTCAGGTGAACTTAACATGAGTTTGACACTCATGGCTTCCGGGCCTACATAAGGAAGCCTCACATTAGGCATGGAAAATACATACCAGTGGTGAGGACTAGAATGACCCCATCAGCTGGATCACATGTGCTACATCCCAACAAGGAGCACACCCAGCTCATCAGGTGTACTGTGTGGCCGAGGGCATGGTGGTGATCACAGAACTTTGAGTAACAAGGGAGCAACACTGGGACACACAGGTTCTGAGATAAAGCTCAATATTTCAGATGCCTGTGCCGGGCAGCTTCCTCTAGACTGTCAGCTGACCTGAAATTGGTCACTGTGTCCCATTCGCTTACCATGGTAGATAGAATGGCAAGGGTGTATCAGGGGTGGAGATGGAGGGAAGAAGAGTGATGGGGTATGGGTGGTACCCAGCAGCACCTCCATTGTCCTCCCACTGGAGCCCTGCCAGAGTGGCTGTGTCTCACCACAGCAGAACGCCTACAGCAAAACTTGTACGTGTACCTGCGGTAACCTCAGGCTTGTGCACCCGCTGCCTACATTTTCCTGTGTCAGGGCAGCTCAGAACCTTCCGGAATGAACCCTGGCTCTCCAGAGCTCACTGGAACAGATGCCCAGAGCTCAGGTTGTGTCCAATAATAATGGTCATCTTCAAACATCAAACACTGTAAATGTGTTACTAAATACACTTCTGGGGTCCTGGTCATAGTATGCTCTCTGGGCTGCCGGAGCCGTGCTGGCTGTGTGAGCCCTCCTTTATCCCTCTGGTTAAAGCTGTCTTGGGAACTATTTGTTAGGATTCCAATGCAAAAATGTCCACTGAATCCACGGCATTCTCTGCAGCAGGCACGCAAGGCATGACCCTTGGTAGGGCAGGTATACAGCCATCCCTGGCAGACTGAGTGTAATCACATGGTTGACCAGGGAGAGAATTTGGGAGGGGAGGGTCCAAATGTGACTCCACCCACTGTGGGTTTCACAGGTGATATCCATTTTTTTCCTACCCATGCTCTGAACCAGTGAGGCATAAAGGTATGGGGATACCAATATATTTCTTTATTGGATAAAAGCAATATTGGAGGAGTTGACACAGCCCTAACATCTTTCCATTGATTTCCACCAAGGTGAGGTCCGGGGCCCAGCCCCGCCATCTCTGATCACATGTGACCTTCTCTGAAAGAATCCAGAGTACAAACGAATCTTCTGCACACCCCCTGACTATTCTCATCCTTTCCTCCCCTGCAGGGTGGAGGCAGGTGAGACCAGGAGTGTCTCTACCCACACAGCAGAAGAAGGACCCCACAGCTGTCTAGACTGCACAGATGATGGGCCGTGGAGCCTCACTCCACATAGACCAGCCACATGCTCAGTGACCTCGGCAGACATTTGTCAGTCCCCTGTGGACCACTGCTGAAGTAAACATACTCCCTCTGCAGAGACAGGCATTCCCTCGTCCTAGGTCAAAGAACACAGCCTGGACAAGGTCATAGCCTTGTGGCTACATATTAAGAATCATCATCCCTCTGGTGTGAGCATTGCCTTGGAGTTAAGGCCTCGTGAACACCTGGCATCCAGATCTGTTGGACCCCAATGAAGGTGTCTGCAGATTTTCATGGTGTCAGCCATGGGAAATTATGGTCCAGTTACTATCAGTGGGCTCATGAGATTACAGGTCCCCACTTTTGAGCTTTTTAGAGTTAATAGGAAGAAACACCCATGTTTGATAACTCCCCTGAATCATTCCCCAATTCTTTGAATGGTGTGACATTTTGCAATAGCAGGTGAGTGGGAAAATGGCTCAGAACACACAGACCCTACCTCAACCAAGGCATACACATGTCTGGACGTCATCCCTGGCACCTTCTGATGGTCATCTCCTCCTTATATGCTTGTTTCCGCTAAGAAGTGGCCTCCCTTAGCGTCAGTCCACCATGTTAGTGTAGAGAACCATCGATGCTTAGTTTTATTCACACCGTTAAAAGCTCGAGTGTAGTCTAGGAACCTCAGACTATCTGAGTTGGGAAGCCACAGCAGCCTGATAAAGACTTCCTAGTCCATAGGCCTTGTTGTGATAGAGTGACCCACTGGTCATACCTGCCACTGGATGTGCTGTCAATGGCAGTGTGTCCAGGGGAAGGCACAGACATAGGTGCCTTTGAGACTCTGTGTCACCTAAAGAAAGGGGAAAGAAAAACTCCCAATACACAGGCACAGCATAAGCTGGCTTGGCCAACTTTTCTTGTAAAGGCAACTGGGAAGTATTTTGTGCATTCACAAAGCAACCATAGATGGCCGCCAAAGGCGTGTGTGTGTTCAAGTATAACTTTATTTATAATCTGAAGGTGCACAGCAGCAGCCCCTCAGCCATGGCTTGCCAAGCCCTTAGGCAAACTGGACCTACCATCATCCCTGAAGATTCTCATTACAGCTTGGTGATGGCAGAGAAAGTCTTGTGGAACTCAGAAATGTAGTTTTAATTTGAGTAGATGCACATGGTAAATCACTCCTCAGATGCAATTGGTGTCTTCCTAAACCTTGATACAAACAAAAAAAAATCCCATGTCCCACACATACCTCAAAGCAGGTGTTCTATCCCCCAAAGGATACCTTCATGGTCTCTGAAGGGTGCGAAGTAGGGGTGCCGAAGGAGCCAGCATGAGCGCCATGCCAGCAGCATGGAAATCTATCTGATGGAGCTGGACAGTCACAGGCAACACCTGGAAGGTAGCACAGGAACCTCAGCCCAGAGCCAGACTGACAGTGGCATTCCTGCTTTTCAGGTCCCCATCCTCATCCCCTGCCACCGGGTGATCTGCAGTGACGGCAGCATTGGTAATTACTCAGGAGGAGGACAGGCTGTGAAGGAGTGGCTTCTGGCCCACGAGGGCATCCCAACTCGGCAGCCGGCCTGCAAGGACTTGGGTCTGACTGGGGCCCGGCTCAAGCCATCCCGTGGCTCCACCAGCTCCAAGCTATCTGGCTGAAATTGAGTAGCTGTTTGAGTGACACATAGATGTAACACCGTGTCGGGAGAGGATGTGTGGTGGTACCACTATATTAAAAGAGCCGGATGTGTCCTGGGGGACTCGGTGTGGCTGCCCTTTCTTGTTTCTACATTTTACAGCAGAATGAGTTCAGATGACCCACCCTTGTGTATGTCATCGGTTCTCTTCTCTGACGTGGTTATTGTTCTATTTTTAATGCCTATTAAAATGGGGATGAGAGTGAGAAAAGCCTTGTGAGCCTTAGGGCCCCTTTACATGAAGGGAGATGCATCTGACACCTGCAGGCAACAGCTAGCCACCTCACAATGTCCATACTGCACAGCTGACCCCACCCTAGCAGGACCCCAAGTCATCCTTCAGGCCACTTGCTCTATGGAGATGGCTGCCCCATTGGGCTCCTAACACCCCGCCTTTGTTGGTTGGAGGGAAGATGGGCTAAGAAATAAATACCTTATGGAGGGTCTGTGCTGTTTCTCCACCTGCCAGAGAGTGTCTTGCATCCACTGTGGCACTGTGTTCTACAATGATTAAATAGAAAAAAGGAACTATCTTCCAAAAATGATTTGGAATGCTGAATAGCACATAGGACATGAATTTGGCTGGGCTGGCACCCTTCTAGGCATTCAAGTCATCTCCAGATTCCAGCTGTTTTTGCTTTCCTTCTTTTTGAATTTCTGGTGGAAGGGACATGGTCCCTCCTGGGAGCCTCAAGGACCAGGAACCAGTAAATTTCCCAGCACTCCATGTTGATCTTGTGGTCTGATGGGAAATGTCATTCTGTGACTTTGTCTCTCTTATTGGTTGTTGAATAAAGCACTGTTGGCTAATAGGGAAGCAAGATAGGTGGGGCTAGGAGTCAAGGAGAATTCTGGGAAATAGAGGCAGAGTCAGACGCCATGTAGGTTGCCAGAGGAGTAAGAGGTCCGGACCCTTTTCTCTGGTAGGAGAAATACTTAGATTAACAATTATGGTTTAAATACTTAAGTCAGAGCTAGTCAGTAAGAAAACAAGCAAATGGCCAACCGCTTTATAATTACTATAGTGTTATTTGATGGTTCAGACAGCGCAGCAGGGCCCAGGCGACTGGCAGGGAAAACTACACTCTAGGGTGGTCAGCTCATGCTGCCACCAGCACTGGAGACAGTCTCCAAGTCTGCTATATGGCGCCTTCCGATGCCTTAAAACTACATCATCCTCCCAGTTTTAAAATGGGCTATTCCTAAAAAGTCAAAGGAAACTAAGCCAGGGGTCTGGATAAATAAAACAGCATGTGATTGGAGGAATGAGCCAACAACCATGTAGCAGAAAGCTAGGTTTCATGGTGGCTTCTCTGAGAGCAGAAACCACTCATGTCATCTGAGATGGAAACACAGCCTCGCAAGGAACTTGCTTTGATGAGCCCGGCACTATGTGCTCCCTTAGCACCCATGTAAACAAACCTCAGGCCTTTCTCCCTGCTTTCCAATTTATCATGTCCTCACCTTATTTCAGCTGCACTAGCTCTGGTATTTTTGTGAAGAGGCATTACAGATGCCACACCTTGCAATTTGGGTTATCGCCCATCATCACAAAGCAAAGTGGGTCTTGTTCTGGTGGTGAGCCCCATAACCAGTGCGTTTTCAGGATAGGGCCGGGCATGCACACCGACATCCTCACATCTGACTTCACCGGGGTACTTTCTGGTTATTTCCTGAAAGGGTCATCTTTGTCTGACATGACCAGCAAGATGTGGGAAGGGCTGGGACATCTCGCATCAGAGTAATGCTACTTTGATGTCTCTCCAGCACCAGAAAGTCACTGATGGATGTCTTTGTCCTCTGACTGAGGAGAGCAGAATTCTTCTCAAAGAGCGACTCTGGGCCCTGCAGCCTCCTGTGCCTTGTATGTGTGTGTTCCAACAGAGGGCACTGTGGCTGCAGTGTGCTGGGGAGACCCCAGCCTCCTCTCTGCTTAAAGAGGAGGTGGAAGGTGGGTATCAGGGTTAAACTCAACTGATTCTGAGCAGGTCCTCCACCCTGCCAAGTGGGCTACCAGGCCAGTGTCTTGTACATAGGTCTCCTGTGCCTGGGTGGCCTACATAATGGGAGCTTTCCTTGTGATCTCTACATTTCCAAACAGATCCAGGCTCTAAGAGGAGCCTGGGGCTGTACAGACATCCATGGCCGAACCCCCAGCATGGGACAGCCACATGCGGCAGGGACACCAACCCCATCAAAGCCACAAGGGCAACCTGGCAGCTCCAGGTAGCCTGAAATGATGAGCCGGCGTGTTTGGGCCTGCCCTTGGAGCAATACGAAAGCCGTGTCTGCTCTCCTCTCCGAGGGTTTCCTCGGCGCTGTCATAACAGGTTCATAGATGCCCCGAGGTAGCCGTTGACAGCAGCAGGACTCACTGCAGTGACCGTGTACTGCTCCAAGGATAAACTCTGCAGAGGCTGACATGAAACGCCAGCACGGTCGCCTGGAGCCGCTCTGGCTCAGGGTTGCAGCGCAGCTTGTGAAAATAAGAGGGAGAGGAAAGGCAGAAAGAATTACAAAAATATTTTCCAAATAAAAAGAAATGTTGAAACAAGAAAGCTGTGTTCTTTGGCCTTGGCCCCGGGTTCCCCTCACCTATCGAATCTCCATGCCCTGAGCTCCTGCGCTTTGAATACTGACACAGAGGCATGTCAGCTGCCATTGCACCGCAGCTCCTTTAAGCCACCCTGTCATTTGCCACCTCCATAAACCGTGGTAGCCAAAGACTCAGGCCTCATTGGCAGCAGAATAGATAAATGCCTTCGGTCAGGAAGTAGACTGAAACTTGGAAGTGGGTGTTTTCTGCCACTGAGGAAGTGTTTCTGTGTTTCTCTTCCCTATGAAGGACACACAGACACAGACACACAGCACCCACTTACCCATGTCCTGTGGCCCTACCAAGTGATGAAGAAACAAGAAAAGAATAAAGGGGTTGTTCTTTGAGGTTCTAGGAACAACAGGTGAAGACGATGGATACTTCAGGGGAAATGGCAGACTTGCTTTCGAGGTAACTGGATGAATTTCTGGAACGTTCTTAGGGGCTCTAGCAGATCCATACTCCTTAATGTCTTCAATAAACCTCTGCCTTCCATAGGTCCTACTCCCTACTACTGCCCTGCTGCCCCGAGTCCCCTTTTTATAAGGGGCCTAGTGTACCTAACATTGATAAAGTCATGCTGAGACCTCAGCATTGCCAGGACAACTTTCCTATGTGAGCATACTGAGAGCAAAGCCCACAGCAGGCATTGTCGGGGGGGGGGGGGCGTTGATCATCTCTAGAATCTCATTGGCAACTAGATAAAATGCTACACATATTCCACTGTGACCTTGGATCAAGAATGAAATGTCTGTATGGGCCCTGGTGCCAACTCAGACCTCAATGCTATCACAGTGATCAGGGAAGGGCAGCTAAATCCATGTGAAACCCTTCCTTTCCCTGGGGAACATTCCAAAGAACCCAGTGCGCCTTTGATTTCGGACACTGTATGGTAGGACTCTGGAGTGACAGACACATTAACAATGTAGGAGCCAAGGAGGACCTCATTTTACTCTGAAGATTTTCCTGAAAGTCCATTCAAGAAGCTAAACCTTTTGCAGCTTCCTCCTGTTGGGAGATGGCTGGGTACCTGTGTGTCACAAAAATATGTCACAGAGGACAGGTGGGAACGCTTGGGCAGGAAGCTAAATTTCTTTGGTCTCCTCCAGGCCTTCTGTGTCTGCCCTTTCTTTTCATGAACATTGTATTAAAGTTTGCATTTAAAAATCTAGAATATTGGCAGAGCACAGAATGCCACACAGGATGTAGTTGCAGCTGTTGGAGAGGCAGAGACAGGAGGATGGTGACTTGAAGGCCAGCCAGGGCTGCATAGGAAGACCTGTGTCTTACATACAAAAGTTTTAAAGGCAGTTGTGAGGCAGAAGCCAGCGTGGTCCACTTAGCAAGTTCCAGACTAGGGAGGGCTACATAGGAAGATGTTCCAAAAGAGCAACACCCCCACCTCAAAAAGTGAAGAGTTAAGATCCTGGCAATTACACTTGAATAGTTTGATAAAATTAAAAGAGACTGTAAAAGGCCCCTTTCTAGTCCCATTGTCTCTCTCTGTCTGTCTGTCTGTCTGTCTGTCTGTCTGTCTGTCTGAAACAAAGGGGGAGTGGAGGCCAAAAGCCAAGGCAAGAGCCTAGAGAAACTGTAGTTTCTGACATGGCTCCAGGTGACTGGGGCGGGCATCCGGGGGCCTCAGAGTCCCGGGACCCCATGGCTCCAGCTGCTGACAGATGGGGGCCGCCTGGCCTCCATCACACAAGGCTCTCCAGCAAGGGTCTGTGTGGCAATTGGGGGCCAGGGTGGATGAGGAAATAGGAAGTGGATGCTGGGCCATGAGGTGCAAATTGACAGCAGGGCCCAGGCTGACAGCGCCTCTGATTGATGAGAGGACACTGTTAACAAGCCTTTAAAGTTTCTCATTAATGTTTTTTTCACTGAAGAGAGCCACAAGAAAAAAATTCCACATGGACGGTAATTAAGATCGATCCTGTACAGTATGGTGCTGGCACTGCTGGGAGCCTTTAAAAGAAGAAAGCAAACCCTCCTATTAAACACTCATTTTCAGGCTGCCAACTTCTGGGTTACTGAAGCCCCATGCCCTGTGCGTGAGGCACATTTTGTGGACGAGCGTGGTGGGCCTCACAGGGAACCTGTTCTCACTGAGGACACAGAGTGGAGCCTCCACATTCTCATGCCCTGATCTCTGATTTAGCGGCCCGGGAATGATGCCTCTGGAGATGCTGAGTGACGGCAGCTCCTGGGCAGTCCCATGGAGTGTCAAAAGTTGGCCCTGCATGGTATGTGGGACACTCCAAGAGGCTCCAACTCTGGAGTGAGGTGGAGGGCAGAGGAAGGAGCAGCGAGGTTAGGAATCGTATCTCTCCCCTTGTGCACATAGGAAACAGCAACCCACGTCTCTCTGCTATGCAGCATGAGGTACATGTGCCTCCAGGTGAGTTTGGTGACTTGAATGAGGAGGAACTCAGCTGGAGAGGATGCCAGTGTCCAAACCCTC